AATTTATCAAAAGAAGTTCATGCTATTGACTCATTACTCCCATATTTATTATTCTTATTGAAAATCACTAGATCTAATTCTATTGGTTTCCTTGCTGATTGAAAACATTTGAACCTAGAAAGCACAGTATTTCTTAAGACATTTGTAACTATTCATCATGGATATTAAAATTACAATCATGCTGCATTGTGTGAGCAATGATTTAAAAAAAAATTCTTTACACATATGGTAAGCGGATGACCAATGCTATCCGAGTTTGAAGATGCTGAACATTCATATAACTGGTATTTGAAATTTTGATGTGTATTGCATTCATTACTGAATATCAAGAATACATTTTTTTGCTCATAAGAGTAAGTTTAAAATGGGGTCTTTTGTAAAAGCACTCATCCTGTTTAGAGTGATATAACAGATGCTGAATGTTCACATATCAAACAAAATGCCAGGTTTCTGTAGAAAAGAGGTGTCAAAAAGTTTCTTTGTACCTTTAACGCATGTGATTATGTAGTACAAAATGCAGAGTTTGTAAAATTTCTTGAATATACAGGCAAAAAAATGAATAATTCAAAACAACTCATAAGTTCTACATTCTATTGTCCCTTTATAACGCAGGCAGAAGATAGCAGTGTGCTCTCAATAGAGCTGAATTTGCACAAGTTACACCTCTGAAAATGCCAGATGGTCTATGGTCTACCTTTGAGAGCTGTCACATATGTAAAGATTTGAAAAAAGAAAGACAGATGAATGAGAGCAGTGGATCATTAAAGGGAGAGCGAGGTTTCCTAGGCATCACTTGTGTTTTAAGAAGCATTGTGTCGTTCTCATATTAGCATGTTTTTTTTTAAAGCTGTATACAACTTTTACACAGTAAGGAAAATAAATCTGTTTAAAGCCAAGTAGTTATGGTTTAATCAGTCAGACATTTTTGTTCTTTATTTGTGGAGAAAATCATGTTTCCAACTTGGTTTTAGTTGTAATTTTACAACTAAAGATTCAGGTCACACCCATGAAAAATTATCGCTAAAGTTAAATGTCTGTAGAAATAATTAGTATATCTAGGGTTTATCCAGTTTTGATTTGACTTATATACTGCATGCATCTGACAAAATCATAAAACTAAGAAATACTTTAAAAAAACTAAACTGAGGAGATAATACTTGGTTACCTGACTATAATACAAACTATAGTAAAAATAATTAGGTGACAGTGCAAAATGAATCTACTATCATTTATCTGCCAACAGAAATAGATATTATTGTGAAGATTGAAATGTAGATAAATCATTAAGGATATGTTTGAATATCACTCCAGCCATACTTGGTAATTTGCAAATAGTCAATTTTGATGGTAGAGAAAGGTCAGATCTGTCAGTTTTAGAATTTGGTGGCAAGACACAGTTGCCTTTTACCACTTTTATTTTTATTAATTGAGAATGTTTAACTATTTCATGGTAATTTTAAATTTATTTTGGATTATGGAATATGACAGGACATTTTTGATTGATAAGAAACCTTTTCAGCATTGGTCAGTGACATTTTAACTTAACCAAGCTCTCAGACTGCTTGAATTATTCTTTTCAGAGAAAAAGTGGCCCCAAACATTCCATTTATTTGGTGAGATTACTGGAAAGTGCTCTGAAAAGAACACAAAATTAGGTTTAACTGTCTTCTTTGGCATCCCTTTAAATACATATGCATAACCAGCTTTATATTCAATAGCAGTCATTAGGATGTCATTCTAGTTGATACAAGAAGTTTCAGGAGCAGCAAATTAATCTCTAGATCAAATGATTGCACTCATAAGAAATAGATCTCCTTTGCAGATGCCTTGATTGTCGATTTTAGTAACGAAAAGGGCATATACAGAGAAGTAACCTTTTCTTTTTTTCTTTTCATCAAAAGTTAGAAGAAAAACAAAATATTTGGATATATTTTACAATCATTACTTTGATTATTTGGTATTCCCAAATATTTAATTTTTAGACAATTATTATCCTTTGTTTATTACTAAAGAACTGAAAAACTGTAAGAGGAGTTCATATATTTGTTTCATAAATCAGGTGTGAATGTTAATAGACTTGGTATGAAAGCATGCTTTTATTAAGTAAAAATGAGTCTTTTTTTCTTGAAATACGTACATGCATGAGTAGAATATTTTGATATGTTAAGATGTTTTTCTTTAAGAGACATGGGATATGTGAATAAGAACGGAAGTAAACAATGTGTGCTAAAGACTTGGTCAGACACAAACTGTCATCTTTGTCAAAAATATATACCAAGTCTTAGCTTCATGAATAATCAGTCCCTGTTACACATCATCAATGCCAGGTATAACTGTCATTGCTTTGCACGCAATACTTTTTCTAAGTTGAAGAGTTCTTAGTGCTCAGATTTAATTTACATTTCGTAACTGTTCATAATCATAAATGGAAAAGATTAATTACAACAGTTTTAGATTTGGAAATTCCAGGAAATTATAAAATAGTAAAATTTTGACAATGAGTGATTTCTGTTGCTGCTGCTGTTTTTGCTGAAATACTATGATTGATAGCTTTGCTCAGGAGCTACACAATCATGGTAAATGTTGATTTTAATAATCTTGTGGGGCCGGCCCGGTAGCTTAGTGGTTAAGTGCACACGCTCCGCTACTGGTGGCCTGGGTTCGGATCCTGGGCGCGCACCAACGCACCGCTTCTCTGGCCATGGTGAGGCCGCGTCCCACATACAGCAGCTAGAAGGATGTGCAACTATGACATACAACTATCTGCTGGGGCTTTGGGGAAAAAAAGGAGGAGGATTGGCAGTAGATGTTAGCTCAGAGCCAGTCTTCCTCAGCAAAAAGAGGAGGATTAGCATGGATGTTAGCTCAAGGCTGATCTTCCTCACACACACACACACACAAAAAAATAATAATAATAATCTTGTTACTTAACCAGTGTAAGCAGATAAATTTTGGAGGAGATCAGGGTTCTTAGCTGCAAAAATTAGAATTCCTTTTGGCTGATTTAAATAGAAATAAATTTATTAGTAGCACAAAGACTCTCACAACAGTTACACAGCCAAGCATCGTGCCCATTCATTCAGTTGGGCTTCTCTAATGAAAACCCCACTGCGGCACCATTGGCCCACTGGTCTGCTAGGAAGTGGACACCAGACGCTGCACCCCACTGCCAAGACCAACAAACACTTCTCCACTGTCTTTGCCAAGAGGCTCCACCTCCCTGGCGTGGCTGCTGTCTTGCAGTGGTCACTTCTGCATGTAAGGCATACTTCTGCTTGCTAGAACTTGGGTCACATACCTGCCCTCTAGCTGCAGAGGAGTCTAGGAGAGGGATAGAGAAACTTTATCAAAATCTGTGAGGGTGTTCAGAAACGCTGGGCAGCATAAATGATGACTAGTCACTTTGCTTGTTTTATGATTCGTTGTCCAAAAAATCAAATTAGTTTGTCCTTCCTTAGTGTCATACTCTTAAAACAGTCTCGTGTGTTTTTATTTTAAGCTAAAAAGTTTTGCTTTTCATATATAGGCATTTAATACATCTGGAATTTTTTTGTGTGAGATATACATGCACTTACATGTGTGCACCCATCTATATTTGAAACTCTGCTGTTCCGTTGGTTTATATGTCTATGCTTGGACCAACACCATACTGCCTTAGTTACTGTAGTTTTTTAATAAAACTTTATATGTGGTAAGTCAAGTCCTACAACCATCTTTTTCTTCCTTAAAATTTCCATAGTGATTCTTAATTACTCTTCTTTTGGATCAAACAAGCCTGTAGGAAATTTTATGGGAATTATACTAAATAAAGATATTGGGGAGAATTACAATATTACCAGAATTAACATATTTATTCTCTCTCCATTTATTAAGATTTTCTTTTATGTCCTTCAGTAGTGTTTTGTAATTTTTGCCATAAAATCTCCGCCCATTTTTTCCTTGCTTAATTCCTAGATACCTGTAGGGTTTTTGTTAGTTGGCTTGTTTTTCTTTGTTATTATGAAGAGTTAATTTTTTATTATATATTTACTAATTGGCTACTGTTGGCATATATAACTTTATTGATTTTAAAATGGTTGATTCTGTATCAGTCTTGCTAAATTCTTAGTTTTTCAGAATTTACAGTCTCTTAGATTTCCCATAGAACGTTCAAATTATGTACACATCTCAAAAATTTTGTTTCTTCCTTTCCAGGACTCAGCCCTGTTATTTCCTTTTTGTGTTTATTGCTTTCACCAGGACCTCCAGTGTAATGTTGCATAAGAGAGGAGAAGGTGGGCTTTCTTTTCTTGGCCCTGACCTAAATGTGAGCACTTTTAAAGTGTTGCCATTTAATTTTGGTAGATGTGTTTTAGCAGATTAAGGAAGTTCTCTTCTATTCCTAACTTTTCATAAATGGTTTATTTCAAAGTCAAATTAAACAATAAATATAGAAAAGGCTTTCTTCTCCAAGATTTAAGGTAGAATTAAAAAGAAAAACAACTATATTTCTCTCTATTGTCTGCTTTGATACCTGAATTCATTGTTCTTCTTTTATCCCAAAAGATAATTGAGTAGTTTATCATTATCAGGGATATTGAGATAATACTGCTGTGTCTCTAGAATCCAAAAGAGGACCTGGTACACAGAAAACAATATTTGCTGTTGAATGAGTGTTAAATTACTTTTTCAGAATTCTAGCTTAAATTTTTTAAAAGACAAAACAAAACAAAATACTTTTTCTGTGGTCTTTTTATAATGCCTTGTGTCAAGTTACCCTTGATGATCCCACTCCCACTTTCCCTTTTGGTAATTATGCTTTCTCTATGGTTATTTGTTATTTATGTTTTGTTATATTGTATATTATGTTTATTGTTATTATGTCCATGTTATTAGTATTTTCCTTTTTTTCTCTTCATTTTTAGTATCATAGGTAAAGTCTGTTACTGAATGTATTTTGATTATTTTCAAATATTAACTTCTTTTTTAACCAGATAAACTTTTCCTGTTTTTAAACTTAGCCCAACCTCAGCGCTTGCCTCAGCTTCAAACTTCAGCACAGGAACTGGGTGAGGAGGAAATAGGCAAGATAAAGAATAGCCATACGAGTCTGAGCAATGGAAATGGAATTCACCACGGGGCCAAACATGGATCTGCAGAGAATCGAAGACTTTCAGCGCCTGTTTCTCAAAAAATGCATAGAAAAATTCAGTCCAGCTTGTCTGTAAACAGCGATATCAGTAAGAAGAGTAAAGTAAATGCTGTCTTTTCCCAAAAGACAGGCTCTTCACCTGAAGGTAATTTTGAGATATACACGTTTTACTTGACCAGATGGACAATCAGATTCACTGGTAACTATTTGATCACGCAAAAATAAATGAAGAATCTTGCTTATCCTTCAGACAAATAGTGATTTTGGTAAAATGCAACTTAACTTCCCCAAAGGAAAGGACAGGCTAGGAAAGGAAGCATTGGCAGCTGACACCCTGCTTTTAGATTATTGTCTTCTAGACTAAATAGTCATTACTTTAAATATAACTGCTCTACTTCTTTTTTTTAATACCACATTTAAAAATATGAATACAACGTTTTGGTGGCATATGAATGTATGAGTGTTTTCTCTGTCCCTGATTCAATATGTTATTCTATGGTTCAGAGATAAAATTACCTGCTTGTATTTTTGTCTTGCAAATCAGTTCTTAAATATGCAAAACTAAAACCAGAAAAAGGTTCGGTAATTTTCATGCTCTTGCCAGAGAGCAGGTCAGGTGGTTGTTGATTGACTGATGAGAATCTTCCAGGCACCAGTGCCTCCACCATCTTGCCCCACTGCCACCCCGGCCCACTCCAGGCTCACTGTGGTCTCGCCATTAGCTCCTCTCAGGAATGAGTTATTACCTCTTCAGTTTGGCCTCATCCTGCCCTTGGCCAGGTTAAAGTCAGGTTAAATACTATGAACCTGAGAAAGTTTTTCTTTATTATAACACAAACCCATGTGATGACAATGGGTTTATAACCTGCAGCCTCCTTTTATAAAAATGGCTTGCCGTATTATATTAAAAAAGGAGTAGTCTCCCCCTATGTTTAAGGTCCCAAATTTCTTCCAGCATATCCACATTCCTCTGCTTTTCCTCCTTCCCACCTTTAGCAGTTTTTGGGCATCAAAAACCTCAAATATTCTATCTGATATATATATTTTTTCTTATTCTCTTTACTTTTCTATTTTAATTGCCATGAAATCTTAAATAAGGGAAATTCTGTGGGTGCCTCTATGAAGTTGGCCATGCTTATTCATAGCAATAAATTGAGTTGTAAATAGGAAATTGTGTTGAGAGTTACTGGTAATGAGTGGGAGAAAGGATATTACATTTTGGCTACAGGTGTCTCAAACTCAGCTGAGGTAAAGTGTTACGTTGATCAAATGATATGATAATAAATGGTCTGCATAGTTCCAGGTCAGTGACACTACTTTCCAAACTAATTAGATTGAAAGGGACATGATTGACACTTTAAAATGAGTTTGACATGTAAGCTGCATGGTCATCTCTGAAGCATAGGTAGGCTGTTAACTAAACTGGCTCTCCAAGGAGTTGAGAAGGCAATGCAATTTTCTTTAGAGGATCTTTGCTTCTAGGTGATTGGGTGAAATAATTGAATGCAATTGAAATCTACTTGTTTTATACATTTGAATTTACTTATTATGCCCCTAACCTCTCATTTTCAATTTAATATTTACTTATTTTAAAGAATGGTAACATTTGTATATCAATCCAATGTGAAATAGCTTATGGAACTTTTATAAAATTTTTATTATTTGCTTATTTTTAATATCATGTCTGAATTTATTTCTAATGTAACATATGAGGGAAAAGGGAAATCAATAGTATTTAAATGAAATATGGTTCTATTCTCCCCCTTACTCTCCCCTCCTCCTCTCTTTTCCCCTTCTTCTTCATCTCCCCCTCTCACACACACACTCACACTTATGGCCCACCACAAAGATGTGGATAAGGGAAGTCCCCTGTAATCCTGATCTGCTCACAAAATCTATTCTAGATTGGGTTGGGGGCAGGAGGAGTATGAAACACAAATGAACATGACTAAATATATTGTACAATGTCCTCCGTAACTTTGCTGTTAGACCGTAGAATTTAGCCAATTGTAGGTTCATTTTACTGTGATTACTTAAATCTAGATGAAAATTCCATTGTCCTAGTTCATATATTCTCAAGGTTAGATGTCTTCATGCTTTTTGCTGCTATTTAAGGTTGTGCCCTAAAATCGTTGTTTCTTCTGACTTTGAATTTTTTTTTTCTTGTGAGGAAGATTAGCCCTGAGCTAGCATCTGTTGCCAGTCCTCCTCTTTTTTGCTGAAGAAGATTGGCCCTGGGCTAACATCCATGCCCATCTTCTTCTGCTTTATATGGGACGCCACCACAGCATAGCTTGATAAGTGATGTGTCGGTGCGCACCTGGGATCCGAAACTTGTGAACCCCGGGCCGCCAAAGCGGAGCATGCAAACATAACCGCTATGCCACCAGGCTGGCCCCTGACTTTGAATTTTGAAGTTAAGTTTATTCTCTGTCAATGTGCTGTAGTTAAAGGAACAAACAAGCATAGAACTGGTAGATGGCAAATTAAAAGGGAAAGCTTCTCAGCTCTGCCACCAGCCAGCTGGGGGACTTAGGTTTCTGTGGGGATGCTTTTTCTATAAAATGGTTCGGATTATAGATTTTCAGAGTCAGATTTGGTTCCAAGATTCTGTGAAGCTGTCTTTACAGCAAAGCTGCTTCACTCTCAGGACAGGTGTCTTGCTGTACAGAACATGTGATCCTTGGTTGAGCGGAAATCTGAAACTGAGTAGAACGGGGCAACAGCAGAAATGGTTGTGACGAACAGGGACAACATCTGGATTTCAGGAGCCCTACATTTCAGAGCAGTAGGTCTTGAACAGGCTTGATTTGTGACACTAATAAAAATGGATAGAAATTATTTTTAAAAAAGCAATAACAATGGGGGCATTTAATAGCTAGACTTTTCTCAAAAGTTTTGTGTTTTTCTTTTTGTTTCACGTTTTTCTTACATCTTCATCGTCTATGCTTCTTCTTCTTACGGCAGAATGAGCCAACGAGTAGTAAAATAGTGTTCACTGAAAATTTGACCTCCAAAACAGCTAGCCATGCCCAGTTGGACAATATTTGTCTTTTCTGGATAAATGGTGCTTATGGTTATGATTTTTGTATTATGCATAAATAATATGACAACTAGAGGGGCAGTTTTCTAGTTCAGATGATGGAATTAAATGTTTAACTATATCATAGTGCTTTGTGTTAAGAGCACTAAGGGCTTCTTTGCTGACCAAGTTTGGAAAATACTGCTAGATGTGGGCCCTTTGCTTATACAGAGGTAAGGATTGACCCATCCACATAATTGAGTCAGTGGGTTGGTGAAATCTTTTAATATGTTTTTAACTGTGGATTACATAAGGCCTGAGTGCAAACGGACATGTTCTCCATCCGATTCTCTTTTTAAAGCTATGTTGATTCATGTGGTTAGTTCTGTGAATTCATTCTGTGTACCAGTTACTGTCTCTATGTGCTTCACTCCCTTGAACTCATGTAATCCTCTCAACAGCTCTGTAATTCTATGAACTATATGTAATTATCTAATTATAAATGAGGAAACTGAGGCACAGAGAGGTTATGTGAACCCACCAAAGTCAATTGGTACGTGATAGAATTGAGATTCAAACCCAGACATTCTGGCTCCACTATAGACATTCTATGCTCCTAACCACTGTGATATTTTGCCTTATCAAAGTCCTCTGAGAAAAAGATAATTCACTGGCCATTCCAACATGATATTGGATGTTGATGGCATTACAGCTGTAGGTCAGGCAGGGAACTTTTTATTAGTATAGATTTGCCTTCTTGAAGCCCTTCCTACTAAAATTTTAAAAACAGTTTTTACACCTATGCCCTGTGTTCGTTTTCCTTCCCTACTTGGGAAGGAAATACTGGACTATAAATTACTGAAGAGTCTGGACTGGGTCTGAGTCAATTTTTTTTCTTTTTTTAATTTACAGCGTTGCCCAGTACAATAGCTTTATAGAGTTTCCCACGAGTTAGTAAGTGATAAAATGTTTTATTCTAAACCACTTCACCCTGCTCTTCCTTGAAACTAGCACTGGAAAATAAAATATGTGCTTATATTCATTTAAACAATGTTCTTTTAAAAAGTTCCTTTTATACATCAGAGGAAAAAAAATACCCATGTGGGAAAATATTATACATTTTATTTGAAGGCATTAAATTAGTAGATTTCTACTTGTTTTGTATAATTAAATATTTTCATACATACTTTAATTTTCTGATTGCATCACCCTGGTGGAGAGTTTTAAGACTAAATGTTTAAGATTCTTGACCTTTGAAATAATTATAGTATAATTTAGTATCATATAATATTCAAATTGCCAAGGGTTTTCATTAGACTCTAAGACACTTTTCTTATTATAGGAATGGTAAATTCTAACACACTTTAGGTGTGCCAGTTGCTGCTGGTTATTTCTGTAAAAATTAAGTTTCAACAAAAATATTTTTAGAAGAGATTTTAGACTTTTTAGACATATTTGATAGTTATTTTATACTTCATATTGATATTATAGATCTAGTATTTATAGAGAACTGCATATCCAGTCCAGCAGCTCATTGAGTATAAATGCTGAACGAGAGTCAGGAGCACTGTGTACATCGCAGTACCTGGGATCCGTCTCATTTTTAATCACACAGAGGCAGTATACCCTAGTGATTAGAGCACAGACTCTGAAACCAGTCTGCTTGGGTGCAGATATTAGCTTTCCCACTGACTGGTGGTGTGTCCTTGGCTTGGGTTTCTTAACCTCTTTGTGCCTCAGTGTCTTGTCTATAAAATGGGGATATCATTAGTACCTATGTCATAGGATTGTTGTGAAGAGCAGTTGAGTTGATGTTGCATTTAGTTGAGCTAGAGGACAGCCTGGTCCAGATGAAACATTTGATAAGTGTTAGCTGCTATTATCATCATTATTATTAAGGAGCACACAGAGAGGGGTCGGGGATGTCGGCTTCCTGGAGAAGGCAATGCCTGGATGAGGACCTGAAAGATAAGGTGAGGTTACGGAGTTGAGGGTTGAGGGAGGCATTCAAGGCTGAAGGGGACTTATGAATTAATCTGTTCTGTTCAGAGAACCATAATCAGTTTGTTGTTGCTGAGAAAGATGAATTAGGGGAGATAAGACTGGAAGGGTGAGAAAGGACC